CAAAGGTTAGGGTAAAATGCGCAAAAATTTGAAAGGTTTGGGACCTTTGCTGCAATTATCCCTAAAAATTATGGATCTCATAAAATATAAGATTAAAATCAAATATTTGACTTTGACTTAAATTTTTAACAAACTTCTACAATTAAGCTAGATGTACATTCTAAATTACAATCTATATGACATTTTTTTCTATATGGTATAATTTGTGCAGTGATGTGAAAGGATGTTGGAGAAATCAAAGAATATGATGGTGCTGCATGAAAAAATGTCAATAAAAATATAAATGTACATATAGCATGATTGAAACTTTTATCCTACACCAAACTGGGCTTAAGACTTAAGAGTGCAATAGATTCTTGTTAGTTAAAATTTAAAGACTTGATTTGATTTTGCAAATGTAGAGAGTCAAATTCAATTTCTATATATCTCATACATTTCTTTCAAATGTGAACAAGAGAGAAGTAAGGTGAAAAAATGAGAGAAAATAGCAAATTGTAATGATTTATCGAAAAATCAAAATAAAGATAAAATGTACATAGTATTGTTCAACTTATAGACAAAATCTAAACTTTAGTTTTAATCATTCTTGAAAATACTTTTAGCTCTTGTTTGCCCCCCATTATTTTCAAAATACATTTTTTATTTTTTATTTTTAATCACACATTTTACAATAAAATAATATTACATGCAAATCCAAAAATTTTCTTTATTTTTTATTCACACATTCTCCATCAAAATACTATTTCAAAATGCATTTTGACCAGAAAAAAGCTCTTAATAATAATAAAAAGAAGCTCTTCATAATAGTGTATATATTGAAATAGTACAAAAAATCTACTCTTTATTTTTAATTATTCTTGAAAATACTTGTAATAATAAAAAGATGCTCTTCAAAATAAAATAAAAATAAAAACATTGTTGAAAATTCTCTTAGATTAGTTAAATTTATTTATATTTCTTTTCAAGAAGTATGCCCCTTCGAAGTTTTGTATTTTTTACTTTGAGTAATTGCTAATGCTTCACTCTATTTGATTTGGCTAAAAATCAGTTTTTTAGTAGATTTTAATAAATATTGATGGAATGTGTGATTGAAAAGTTAATAAAAATTGTGAATTTCATAAAATGTGTGATAAAAAATAAATTTTAAAATTTTGGAACCAAACTTGGGCTCGATAAATAACTGATCATGCGATGGTTCATTCATACATGTTACAATAACGAGATAATTGCTTTCAGTATACACTTTAATTTAAATATATTATATGTGCAAGATTTTGGAAACATAAACAAATACTCGTTCACCCAGAATATCACATGGACTCCTGAAAATTGGGGAGAGTGGAGTCCATATTGTATTCATATTGAATTCATTAAATTTTGTTATCTATTTCGTTCAGAAAAAAAAATCATGCCTTTAGAGATGGACCTCATGCATCTCTTCGATATATGAAAGTGACAAAGTGGGAGAAACAATTTTGAACAGCCCTAAAAAAAAAAAATAAAGAGTTTTAAAGAATCATACAGTTTACAATTCAAGTAGTTGAGCATCCAGCAAATTTGGTTCTGTGTGCATTTTACTTAGATAATTCTCCTGTATCAATGGCTACAGGATGGTATAGATTAATGAAGTCAATTACAGCTAGCATTTATGGCTGCTTCTTGGTATTTAGCATATATGTGGGGTTTGTGAGATCAATCGAGTGTCAAGGTTTTTCTCCCTTTGACAGAATAACACTAACGATTAAGAGAATCGACACAAGTTCAAGCACATTTGGTGAAGTTGAGGATCGATCTTGGACTTAGGCCTTAATGTAAGGATCTTGCTGTGGGGTGGGCCCAGGTGCCCCCCCAATGAGGAGCCACCATTTGTCCATTATGTGAACCCTTATATTGTTTGCTATGTACCCATAGCAAGATCCTTAATGTAAATATGGAGGCGCCCAAGATGGGGAAGGAGGGTCGGGAGGCTTGTGGCGAAAGATGGTGAAATGGCTAAGATATGATTTGGCCATGGTCGTTATGGAGGTGGACCCAAGATGAACCTTATGGCAAAAGTTCAGAACTTGAGTTTGATCTTGGTAGCAACAACTTAATTATCAAATTCACCAAATCAATTCAAAATCATGTTCAACCCAATTTGTACCACTCTAGTTCATTTAAATTTTATCTTTAACACACTCTTTCACGTGAAAGATCAAAATGGTGTTTAGTACATTGTGATAGAAGTTTTTGAAATGTATGGTTGAAAATTTGTGGGACCCATGAAAGATGTGGTAAATATTAATTGTTTGACTTTGACTTGAGGCGTGTCTGTTGGTGATTTCCAGCATTAGTATAGCCTTTTTTTCAAACGGTGACCCCCACCCCTCTCACACACAGTCAAAAGTTGCGGCTTCAGGCTTTCCCAACGGTTAAAATATCAATTCTAATTAGCCAAAGAATTTGCTCCAGACAGGCACTTGGATTTGGACCAAATAGGGTCTAAATTTATTTTTTTATGAGATGCCAAACACGTGCACAATATTTCAAAACAAGTGACTAATGAGATCCGAACTTGCATGGTTGTGGTATCATCTCAAACTTGAACCTTGTCTTCAATAATTCATCGAATCACGTGGTATTAATATTGATAGAAAATAAATTGCTGCCTTAAATTACGTTATTCAAGATCCATAGTTTGTAGTAGAAGTTATCCCACGTGTCTTTAGCCTTATTTTCACTGATATCATCATTTTTGAGTTAATAAACAGTACTTATAATCACATGATCCACGTTTCCTCCGTATACTTCCAATTATTAGATATCCAAGATTTTGGAAACAAAAACAAATGTTTTCTTAGCCAGATGTCACGATAACTCTTGAAATTTCGGATAATGACATACCGTATATTTTAATTCATTTCATTCATTTTTTTTAATTAATCATCTCATTTAAAAGTTTAAATATATAAAAAAAAAAATCATTTGTACCATTTAAATTTTGTCTTCAATAGTTCACTCGTGTAAAGATCTAATTACATTTTTTTTCCTCAAACATACACGCGCACAATTTTTATCAAGCATTGGCAAAAAGATGTAAACTTAGTTTTATTGTATGACTATAATATCATGTTAACTATACCAAGTTCGAGTAATTTACCTGGTCTATTTTTGC